AGCCCGTCGAGCTGCTGCCTTCAACTGTCACACCATCACAAAATCAAGACAAACAATGAAACTGAAGGGTTTACAGAGATGAAGCGTTTGAATCTCCATCCATCAGGGAGCACAAAGCGTCTCCTTTCAGATGATATTTTCTTGATTCCTGCTTCATAACGCCACGCGGCGAGGAGGAAGCAGACGGCGTAGATTCCAGTCACAGCTAAACGCTCTGTGACTCCCGGCGCTGATCCGCCGTGACGCTCCAGAAACGTTGAGCAGAGTGAAAGTGGAGCGCTGCCAGTCCCGACCCTCCTGGGAGCCCAGGCGCTCCCCGTGAGGCGCTCCAAACACGCCGACTCAACCTCAGCACAGTCATTTGCATGAAGAATGAGCGCCGGGCGAATCTCTGCGCTCGCTGTCAGCCTCCAATCAACACACAGCAGATGGCATCGATTCAGTTTGTCCTGTTATGATTATTTGTGTTCTGGCGTATGGGAGCTGTGAGGGATTTAAATCTGAGGATGTCAGGAGGAAGAGGCGCTAACGGGAGGCAGCGTGTTGTCATGGATTCACCGAGTTACGCAACAGTTTGTTTACATTCTGGTAAACTGGTGTTAGCAGCAGATATCAGATAATGTCGACACAAGTGGATTAGTGAGCAGGCCCACTGTCTGCAGGAGACACAAAACCACCACGAAGAGACACAACATGACCACAAAGAGACACAACACGACCACAAAGAGACTCAACATGACCACAAAGAGACACAACATGACCACAAAGAGACACAACACGACCACAAAGACACACAACACAACCACAAAGACACAACACGACCACAAAGACACACAACATGACCACAAAGACACAACATGACCACAGAGAGACACAACACGACCACAAAGACACACAACACCACCACAAAGAGACACAACACGACCACAAAGACACACAACACGACCACAAAGACACACAACAAGACCACGAAGAGACACAACATGACCACGAAGACACACAACACGACCACAAAGACACAACATGACCACAGAGAGACACAACACGACCACAAAGAGACACAACACGACCACGAAGAGACACAACATGACCACAAAGACACACAACACGACCACAAAGACGTACAAACTAATCACAGTGCACGGTGCATAATTACTTAAAAGAGGTACAAAACAAACACAGAGGGACAGAAAACCAGCACAGACACACAAAAAATACCATAAATAGACTTAAATGTTCACAAAAAAATCAGAATGAAGACAAATGACCACAAAGACATACACAATTACTACAAAGAGACGCAGAAAAATCACAAAAAAGACATAAAATGACCACAAACAGACACAGAAAGACCACAGAGACATGCAAAGTGATCAAAAAGACACAAAATGACCACAAACACATGCAAAATGGCCATTAAAAGAAAAATTACTTTCACAAAATCCCCACAAATAGAAAAATGGCCAGAAAAAGACAACAAAATGACTTTAAAGAATCACAAAATGACCACAAAGAGACACAAAATCACTAAAAAGATGCAAAAATAATACACAAACAGAAACAAAATGACCATTAAAAGAAAAACTGCTTGCACGGAGACAGCAAAGGACTTTAAAGACTCACAAAACCACCACAAAAAGGCACAGAAGACCCAAAAGGGACACAAAACGACCACAAACAGATACAAAATGACCATAAATACACAAAAATTACCACAAACAGACACAAAATGACCACAAAGACACACAAAAGGACACAACACGACTGTAAACTACACTTTGGTTTGTTGTGTTTTTGTGTTTCTGTCGGTGTCGGTGTTCTGAGGATCTTCCTGTTTCATCACTCAGCCACCAGCATTAATTCACGTCATGTTTGTTTAGTGTAAGTCTCCCTGATTCAGAGTGTATCTGCTGAATATGCACCTGTGCTGTTCACCTGTGTGCAGGTGTATAAGGAGGACCTGCCTCAGCTACGACAGCAGAGCAGAGAGAAGAAGCAGCAGGTGGGATCTCTGAAGAGGCAGAAAGGACCAGACCAGGGCCTCCGACTGCAGTTTGTTCACGGGTAACTCCTCACAGAACACAGTCTGGATGCTGTCAGGTTAATGTCAGGACAACAGCAGGTTGAACACAACAAGAAGATTAAAGCTGCGTTCAAGACAGCTTGTTCTGGTCTGCTTGTGAGACGGAGCAGGAGGGCAGCAGGTGTAAACTGGACATACTGTTAGATACTCTGATTATTACCAACAGGAGTCACAAAATGAGCAGAAACACACAGAAGAGCCTCAAAAACACGTTAAATGACTCAAAAAGCTGCAAAATTAACACAAGAAGAACACAAATCATCAGACCACACTGCTGTAAGCTTTCTACATTAAACTCTTCTGATGTTTTAATATTTTATGTGCAACCTGCCGTAAGAAGACGACTTTCTTGGGCTCAAAGGTTCGACTTAATATTAAAATATCCTGCGTCTCCATGACAACGGTAACCATCCGTCCAAATCACTTTGAATCGCACAAATTTGCCAACAACAAGCCGTTTGTAGAAACACAAAGAAGCACAAAGGAGGTTCCATTAGTGCAGAAGCTGCTCTGAAGTCAGACGGCCTGTTTGTGAGGGTTGACCTGCACCGAACACAATAAACCAATAAATACAGAAACACGAGCAGCTTGTGACGGAGACGATGCTGTCTGTGCAGGTACCGCGGCTACGACTGCAGGAACAACCTGTTCTACACTCAGGGCGGCGAGGTGCTGTACCACGTGGCGGCGGTGGGCGTGGTCTACAACCGGCAGCTGCACAGCCAGCGCTTCTACCTCGGCCACGACGACGACATCCTGAGCCTCAGCATCCACCCGCTGAAGGACTACGCTGCTACGGGGCAGGTGACGAGAACACTTCTGATTGGAATGAGCTTTTCAATAGTCAATACTGTCTCTGAATGGTTCCCTACAAGCGACCCAGCTACATGGTGCAGCATTCACAGTGTTCACCCGTCTTTAGAGGTTTGAGGTTTTTATTGCTGTTTGACATTGAATCATG